TAATAGGTCTTCATTGTTATAAGTTAATAATTCATAAATAATATATTTTAAACCTTAATACATGATTAATAAACTTATATTTATGTTCAATTAAGAAAAGTGATACTGAGTTGATTAATTTGATTTTTTGGCTAATTATGTGGTTTTATGTAAATTTATATAATTTTATAATCATATTTTTGAGATAAAGTGAAGAGAAAAAAATATATATAAAAAGAGGGGACCCAACGGCCAACTAGGGCCTACAAGCAAGTTAGAAGCACAATTAGGTATTGACATGAGTAGGGTGCTCACGCAAATATTGACTAGTTGAGTATGGGCCAAGGAGTAGTTGTACACACATGAGAAGATAATATTGACTAGAAAAAAATACATTACTATATGTATGCCTTAAAACTTGAAAAATAGTCAATGTGGGACTAAAGCAATGCCACTGCTAAATTTTATATATTTTTATACCTCTAATGTCCTTGATATATATGAAAAAGAAGCACTTTCATAACGTCACTAGGTAAGGATATGAGTGTAATTAATTGCCTCTCTCTCACATAGGTAGATGACTAGCAAAGATTTGAATTTTACCAAAGCCAAAACTCATATTTTGATCTGAAAAAATCAAAAATTTTCTACAGAGTATTAGTTAACAATTAAGCTATAAAAATCACTCAAGCATCAACAAATATGTTGTTAATGTGATTGTCGAAGCACCATTACCAACTATCAAATAATTTTGAATAAAAAGATCTTGAATTTATCAAGTAAATCATTTTTTATTGATGAATCAACTATCGTTGGGAAGAGGATGATCTACTAAGAAATGAGTGACCACCTCTTGAGAGTATATCAAATACAATGAAGGGCCTCTTTTTACTAAGTGAACTTGAAGATAAAGCTCCTTAAAATATGCCTTACTTCCATCCAACTTATCTCTGTCATGTGGCAACCACTAAAACTTCAAAAGTTGACATTTTTTTAACTCTCTCTAGTGACAATCATTGAAGATGATTCATCAACCACTTCATTGATTTATGGACTTTGTAAGAAAATCTAGAGATTATCATCATTGTCTATGTCCAAAGAGAGCTTTTGAGGCTATGGACATCACATAATAATTTTCTCAAACATAAAATTTTGATAATCGCTATCGCAAAATCAAAACTATATTTTCTACTTTAAATTTAATATTTACTTAATTTTATGAGATTTTGTGTGATTTCTATTTTTGAAATGTTATTTATTTTATTATAAATATTCTAGTATTTACATATCTTAATTTGATCAATTAAATTTTCTATAAATACTTATGAAAGAATCACGTATAAATTTTATTTTATTTTTATTCATGTTCATCCTGGTGTTGATATCATCTTAATGTCCACACCCAAATTTTCTTTTTCAAAAATTTTAAATATATTTTATCTTCATCATTTAATCTAAAAATTATCAAAACTCATATTTTTTGAGAAAAAATTTGAAATATTATGAGATATTAGATTACCTCTCTATGATCTACTTGAAAATTTCTCAATATTTTTTATAATATTTTATCAAATTATAATTAATTAATTTATTTTAAAATATTTCTAAAATTCTAAATATTTTGATTTTTAAGTTTTATTAATTTTAAATTTTATGTGATTTATATACAATAATTAGATCATGTTAGGTATCACATTAGACTAAATCAAAAAATTTATCTTCTCTTTTTGTCCATATAAGCATTTGACATAACACCATTAAAATAATTTTTTCAAACTTAAAATTTTGATAAATTTTTTATTCTCTTGTTGATTTAATATATGTGACACTTTAGAAAACCTATCAAATATTATTTATAATTGATAAATATTGCAACTATAGAATCAGATCATTATATATAATCCAAATAAAAATATTTTATTTTTGTAAATGTGTTGACATTTACATTATCTGTGAATGTATTGAATGTATTAAAAATAAAAATATGCGACACTAATGGTAACCTTTGGAGTGGACAAAATTGATAATATTATCTGTGAATGTATTGAACAATATAATAGAGAAGTAAAATATTTGAATAGACATACATTTTCACAAAAAAATTTTCCAAGGCTAATAATTGTGGATGGTCATGACCAAGAAACCACAAGTTTTGCTTGGTGGGCTGAGAATGCTAGACTTATCAATTTGTCCAGTAAACTTCTTGGGGGTCACATAGCCCAAATTTCTTGAATATGTTAAATATATATAAATATAAAAATGATAGATTTATAAATAATCAATAATAGTATATCATATCTTATGAGTAAATTTTAATTTGTGATCATCAAAACTAAGGGCATCAGCACAAAATTATCAATGAGAATTTCTTAACATATTCTTGTATTGTTTTGATGTGATAGAGCTGTCAAATAGATGTTTGTGCCATCTGTATATTATTCGTAGGCCAAAACTACTCAATTCTCAAACAAAATCATTGTCTATTCTTATTTTCTATCAAAGTTCAGCATCCTCTATTAGGTACATGTTGGCTAGTGAGACTTGGTCTTTTTCTAAGGTGAGGCTCACCCAAAAGTACAATTCCATATTTGATAGTTTTCCAACTCTTATGTGTTGCTAGCCCTACATATGCTTTGGACTTTAAAACTTTTCACTACTTGGTAACTTCTAGAGGTGGCACTACAGCTAAGCATTTCAACAATATCATATCAGCCAATAGGCTTCAATAACCTTCTCATAACTCCTCAACTTTGACTTTGTCTGCCCAAGTTGCATGCAAGTGAGCCCTTGCCTATATTGAGACAATCCTTATTATGTTCATTGAGTCTTCAAGGGTAGATACCCAGTTGTCATTGTCTTGAACTATATTCTCCAACACATGAACCTTCAGCTTCACATGAACATGCAAACCCTACACTATGCCCTCTACGCCCATATTAGACATCTCTTAATTCACCCTAACTTAATTTTGATACAATGTAACATGGGTTGACAATTGACCCCATGCTGGTGATCACCTGTGTGTGGCCTTGGGCATCCAACAACCAACCCAAGTGGCTTGGATCTCTTCCTGATCATTGGAAAGCTTGCAAATCAAGAACAAGATGGAAAGATCTGAGCAACATAACCTTTATTCTGGTCCAGGAATGCAAGGGGAGAAGGGAGGAAGAACAAGGGGAGAAGCTCAACTAATTGCCTCTACCAAGTCAAGAGCACCCCCTATTTATAGGGCAGAGAATGGGTGACCACTTCTTTTACTTGATGAGGCACCCCCTTCCTTTACTAGACTTGTCCTTAGGGGGGACATGGCCATGTTTTGCCTACCTCATTTGGACATTGCCCTATTTTGTTGAAAGACAATTGGGCACATCTATGCCCGACATGCCCTATATCAACCACTTGAGATGTCCAAAATGAGCTGGATATTCTGTGGCAGTTCTGCTTGCATTGTGCATGCATGTGTCAATCACATGTTCATGCACCACACCTCTGCCATCTAATTGTCGTGTGCTCTCATGTTGCAAACTTTAGCATGCATGTTTGCCACATGCACCCATTGTACTCATATAATGTGTGCTTGTTGCAGTGCCACTATGTGCTGCTGCCATGCTAATGTTGTGCTATGCAATGTTAGCAGCTAGCAAGACTTGTGAGCACCCTGGCCTACACCACTAAACTCTACCTATTTTGCATGCATCTCTGCCCTCCATGCATTGCCACACATGTTGTGCCATGTTCACCATGTGTGCGGTGCCAGCACAAACATATGGTGCAGCTATAGTGTGCTTGTGATGCATGCATGCATGCATGCATGAGGGCCCATTGGAAGAACTTGTTGAATGACATTGGAGGCATTACACAAATAACTAGAAGGATCATCAATGAAGTTACCAACACAATGCAATTAAAATCACGAGTTAGTTCTTGTTTAGAGAAAAATGAGTCAAACACCTAACATATGATAATTGGAAGTATATTTAGGAGCCTTGTGCATTATTAGAAAAAATGGAGCTTGCAACTAATTTAAATCAGGGAATTCCTTTTTAAAATCTATAAAAAATGATAGAATTTGTGAAAATAAATAAAATAAGAAAGTAGTATAAATGTGAGAAAAATCACACTAGATATCATATATCTATATATATGGCACAAAAACAGAATAAAATGTCAACTCAATAAAAAGAATGCTCCCAAGTAGATAACTCTGCTGAGCACGATGTGATAAGGGCAGGCTTCATCAGAGAGGCCCCATTGAGGCCCAATAACACCCGTACATCACCATGGCCCACTAAGAATGACAAAACCCATTTTCCTCGAGTTTTCCCGCAGAGAACCAGACTTGGGCTGCCGGGCTTCACCGAAGGCGGCTCATTTATTCCCAATAACCTCCGCCCATTACCGCATCTCCTCGCATAACATGAAACCCCAAAGGCCCATTTATAACTAAGAACACTGGCCCAACGAGTGTGTGGGCACCTTAACGGTCTTCGCCACCGCGAGCGGCGGCTCCGCCAGCCGCTCGCTGTGGAGCGCCACCCCTGCCGCACGCTCCGCAGATCTCAGCCGCCGGCGAAAAGACTCAGCAGAAGAGAAGAGACTCACCGGTGGCGACGCCGCCAGCGAGGAGGACGAAGCGGGCCGCAGGGGCAGGCTTCCGGGCCCGGGCTCCTATGTGATACCGGCGGGACCCACGCTCTTAAGGTTGTCGAGCCTATCTCTTGCTACGTGTCGTCATCCTGGATATTTCAAAATTCTGGAAACGCAGGACGTCGGTCATTAAACCTTCCATAGAAAGAAAGAAGGGAGAGAGAGAGAGAGAGCCAAAGAAAAAACAAATTGGAGAAAGCAAACGGAGGGGGTCGGCGTACGTCTCCTTCTTTCCTCTTCCCCTTTCCTCTCCGATTACCCCCTCTGGATGATGATGATGATGATGATGCCCTAGCGAGTACTCTCGTCCCTCCGCCGGGAAGAATCCTCGCGTGGCGGCGGAAATCGGAGGGAAGCAGAGGGGAGGAGAGATGATGGCGAGGACGGGCGAGTGGGAGGAGATCGCCTTCCGGCGCATGGGGGGCAGCCGCGGCCTGCGGGAGGACCTCTCGGAGATCACCCGCAGCCTTGCTCGCCAGCTCCGCGCCGCCGCCGACTTCCTCGCCCCGCCGCCGCCGCCGCTGCCGACCAACCCTTCCTTGGCTTCTTCTTCTTCTTTGCCTGGAAATCGCTCCGCCGCCGCAGGGCTCTCTGTCACGCGGGCCCCGTCGGCCGCCTCACCGGTATCGCCTTCCGCCAGGGCAATCGTCGGCGTGCGGAGCGACCTTGCGGAGATCGGCGGAGGTTTTAGGACGGGGTTGGCGGCGCTCTCCTCTCTGCTCGGGAATTCGCCAGAAAAGGACAGCAGAGACGGCGGCGACCGGAGGAGGATCAGCGATGGAGATAGGGCTCCCAGGGTCGTCGGCATCACGGAGGAGGTGTTGAAGTTCGTGGATTTCCTGTCCGGCCGACCAGAAGAGTGGATTCAATGTCCCGTGCCTCTCGACGGCCGTATGCTACTTCTTCTTTCCCTTTCTACATAAGTGGCTTATCTTTTTTTAATTTTTTTCCGGCTGATAAACCATGCCGAAGGTTATACCGTTTCTCATCCAACAGCTTGCCTCAGTTTTTTTTTCCAATTTTCTTGCGGTGATTGCACTTTTTTCCATCAGAATTGTCCACTCTTCGAAGTAAGGGTGTCCTTCAAGATAATATAGATTTTTAATTTTTTTCTCTGATGAAATAGTATAAATTTCCAGTCTTTCTGCTAAACAGGATCTATTGAACTCATAATTCATTAGATACTTTTTATGAATGTCAACTAAGTATCGTAAGTAAATTGATCCCGGTTGTTCAATCATTTGATAACCAGAGTCATTCTTTGATAAATGATCACTATGAGTCAGACTCAATAGAATTTGATCAATTCTTTTTTCTGTCGTTAAGGTGGAGAACTGAACCAAGAATTCTCTTTCGTCATCATCAATCGAATCACTGTTCGCGACCCAGGATTCTATTTTATCATCAATCCAATCACCGTTCACGTTTTTTCTTTTTCTTATCAATGCATAGATTTCTTTACTTGTACGACTTAGATGTCTCGTATTTCTCGAAAAAGTGATTCGATTGACGGGATTTGGTATGATACTTATGAGATCGATGAGATTGATATTCAAATATTTATTTCAAACCCGGAATACCATTTATTTCTATGGAAAAATTTGCAGTTGCTACAACTATATGATCAATACCTTTTGAAGCAATTCCACCGCAGTGGAGGAAGAAATCTCTAGTTCTCTATAGCAGGCGCGGTCTCCCTGAGAAGGGTGTTCTTCAAGATAATATAGATGACGAACTTTTTTTTCTCTGAGAAAATAGCATTAATTTTTACAGGAAAAATTTCCCTTACTTTTTGAAGCAATTCTGCTGGAATGGAGGAAGAAATCTGTTATTCTCTAACGCAGGCGCGGTCTCCTCGCAGATTTTGAGATATCTGATCCTCGGAGGAAGCACATCGCTGCAGTCGAACGCCTGGTTCCAGGTCTCGCATCGTTGAGGGCCAGGCTCTGCCCCAGCCACATAAGCGAGGGAACTTTCTGGAAGATCTACCTCTTCCTGTTGCATCCAAAGCTCGGGGACCACGATTCGGAGCTGCTATCCACCCCCAAGGCAAGCCTTCACCATCCGCGGAAAACCTCATGATGATCTGTTCTCGTGCAATGATCAGAAACAGATCTGGATAATTTTGCAAATATATGATGGCCGTCTCTGAGAGGAATGCTGTTCGTGCAGATTGTGGAGGAGATGGACAGAGCGCTGCAGGATCTACGAAACAGGATCATCAGACGGCTGGAGATCTCCCGCGCGGACGACGCCTCCCCGCCAGCGATCGGCCGTACCTGCGAGATCGAGGAGGTCGACGAGAGCCCCGCCACTGCAGCGGCGGCGGCGGCGAATCCGGAGACGACCTCTTGGGTGAACTCCATCGAGAGGGGGGACGTCGAGCAGTGGCTAGAGGACGTCGAGGTCATCTCCAGGAAGCAGCCGGAGAGCGAGGAGGAGCCGCTGCTTAGCGACTTTGAAAGCGATCTTCACATTCTAGGGCTGAGGCGCCCCATGAGCTCTTCTTCCGTCGAGGTCGTCCCCTTCTCCACCGCCGCCGCCGCCGCCTACAGCTCCGCCGAGTGGGCTCCGCCGGCCGGCCGCCGGAGGAGGCCGAAGCCGACGCCGCAGAGCCGCTGGGAGCCGAAGGCCGACGGCGAATCCAGCGACTGGGTCGACGCCGGAGACTCCGACTCCACCTTGGGCTGAAGAACCCCGAACCAGTCAGTCTCCCATCTCCTTCTTCCCTCCCTGTCTTCAACAAGAAGGCCTGTATAAATAGACGTCCTATTTTCCATAAAAAGGTGTGGTGATTAATTCTCTTAGTGCACTCTTCATGATCTGATCTCGGCCGGCAGATTACAATCAGACGACTCGTAATTTAATGTCCCATTGTTGTTTCTTAATTTCTACGCCTAATAGTAGCTTAATAATTTTGTGCATTAAATTTTAAAAGAAATTGTCGTGTAGAACAAAATCACGGTAAAAGACGAAGACACAGGGCAGGCAGAGAGAGAGAGGGAGAGAGTATAAAAGGACCGTCCTATCCAGCGCTTCTCGTTGTTCATCTCTCCCTCTCTCTCTCATCCCTCCTCTTGGATGCCCCATCCTCGCCTCTCTCTCTCTCTCCTTCTTGATGGCCCATCCCTTCGTCACACTTCCCTCTTTCTCAGTCTTTCTCTCTCTCTAGGACCAAAGCATCGGGCATAGCAGGGGCCGTCTATCTCGCCTCTCTCTCCGCATGCTCATCTCTCTCCTCTATCTCGGCCACTCCGGGGAAGTGCCCTAACCAGAGAGACAGAGATAGATAGAGATAGCGAGAGAGAGAGAGAGAGAGAGAGAGAGAGGAGATACTTTTAGCAATGCCCTCGCCATCCCGGCTCTCGCATTAGATCGGATAGTTGGAGAGGCCATCGGGGAGGGAAGAAGAGGGAGGGGAAGGCGATGAAGGAGACGAAGGCATCGCCCCCGTCCAGCGCCGCCGTATCGGCGGTGTCGGCGTTGGCGTCGGCGTCGGCGTCGGCGTCGGCCTCGTCGGTGGGGGCGGCGGCGCCGACGGAGCTCCGCCAGGCGCCGCCGTCGTCGCCGGTAGCACAGCAACCGGAGGAGACGGCGGCGCCGCCGGCCGCGGCGGGGAGAGATGGCGTCGGAGGGCAGGAGGCGGCGGTCTCGGTGGAGCGCCGCGGCGAGCATTCCGCTGTGTGCCGCTGGTCCGTGGCGGCGTTCCCCCGCGTGAAGGCGCGAGCTCTGTGGAGCCGCTACTTCGAGGTCGGCGGCTACGACTGCCGCCTCCTCGTCTACCCCCGGGGAGACTCTCAAGCTCTGCCGGGATACCTCTCCGTCTACCTCCAGATCGTCGATCCCCGCAGCGGCTCGAGCTCGTCTTCTTCCTCTCGGTGGGACTGCTTCGCCAGTTATCGCCTCTCCATCCCCAATCACGCCGACGAGTCCAAGTCCATCCACCGCGACTCCTGGCACCGATTCTCGTCCAAGAAGAAGTCCCACGGCTGGTGCGACTTCACCCCAGCCGCCGCCGTCCTCGACCCGCGCGCCGGCTTCCTTTCCGGTCCCGGAGAGTCTCTCGTCGTCACCGCAGATATCCTGGTGCTTGACGAGTCCGTCTCCTTTTCCAGAGACATTGTCCCACACTCCGATCATCATCACCATCACCAGGCTCAGTCGTCGGCGGCTGTGGCGGGGGTTGGAGGCGCCGGTGCTGGCGGGGACACGCTGAATGGGAAGTTCACATGGAAGGTGCATAACTTCAGCCTCTTCCGGGAAATGATCAAAACGCAGAAGATCATGAGCCCGGTTTTTCCGGCAGGTGAATGCAATCTTCGGATTAGTGTGTACCAGAGCTCGGTGTCTGGTATTGAGTATCTGTCGATGTGTCTTGAGAGCAAGGATGCTGAGAAGAGCTTGCTGCCGTCAGACCGGAGCTGCTGGTGCCTCTTCCGCATGTCGGTCCTGAACCAGCGCCAATCTAGTGGCGCCAGCAGTGGTGGTAACCATGTCCATAAGGACTCCTATGGAAGGTTTGCAGCAGACAGCAAGGGTGGGGATAATACCAGCCTTGGGTGGAATGACTACATGAAGATGGCAGACTTCATGTCAACTGAGAATGGGTACCTTGTTGATGATACTGCAGTGTTCAGTGCATCCTTCCACGTGATAAAGGAGTCGAGCAATTTCTCCAAGAGTGTGAACTGCAGTGGCAGCATAGCACAGGGAACAAGTGGGAGGACGGGAGTGGGGGGTGGGGCAAGAAAGTCAGATGGGCACTTCGGTAAGTTTACATGGAGAATTGAGAACTTCACAAGGCTCAAGGACCTCCTTAAAAAGCGGAAGATAACAGGGCTATGTGTCAAAAGCCGGAGGTTTCAAATTGGTAATCGAGACTGTCGCCTAATTGTGTATCCAAGAGGTAAGAATGATGCGCTCTGACCAGTCACAGTGTTGTGCGATTTATGCTGACTTGCAGAGTTTAATTGGGATAATTGTAAGCTTTGTGATATGTATGCTAGATGTTGCTTTCAGCATTCTAATCATGAAGTTCAAGATCACCGTTAAAGTTTATCTTTTCATAATATGCATTATTCTCAGGGTGGCCAACGAATTTTTTTTCTCTTATTGTTACATGTAGGAAATTTCCTCTGTTCTCTAGCCAAAGGGTTATAAATTAACACACGTCATGCCACTTGTTGGATACATATTTTCTTTAAGCCAAGAAGATTAAAACGCTAGAACTGTAACATAATATCTGTATTTCTCTGAGGGGAGGGGGGACTTGTGGTAGTTCTGATTTTAAATAAAGAAAAAGGAGAGAATTGATATGTTCAGAACATTTACGATCAATTCCTAGGTTTTCGTTATTGGATTTGGAAATATGTTGGAGTGCCTTCTTTCCATCTTGTCTTTCTTCCTTCAACTTTATTCTGATCATGAATTTATGTATCATGAATAGACTCTTTAGCAGAATTTTTTGGTTATTATTGTGGTTTACTAAAAAGTGTGCGTCCACTTTCTTGTACTCTACTGTGTACCAGGGCAGTCTCAGCCTCCATGCCACCTCTCGGTTTTTCTTGAAGTAACAGATTCTAAAAACACCTCAAGTGACTGGAGTTGCTTCGTGAGTCATCGCCTGTCAGTCGTCAATCAAAAACTGGAGGAGAAATCTATTACAAAGGAGTCTCAAAATCGTTACTCAAAGGCTGCTAAAGATTGGGGCTGGAGAGAGTTTGTAACTTTAACAAGTCTCTTTGACCAGGATTCTGGATTCCTTGTACAGGACACTGTCATATTTTCTGCCGAGGTACTTATATTAAAGGAAACATCCATAATACAAGAACTATCAGACCCAGACCGCGAATCATGTGGTGCAGGTCCAGGTTCTCAGATTGATTCGATTGGAAAGAGAGGATCCTTCACTTGGAGAGTTGAAAACTTTTCATCATTCAAGGAAATAATGGAAACAAGGAAAATCTTTAGCAAATTCTTTCAAGCTGGAGGGTGTGAACTGCGAATCGGTAGGTGAATCCTTTCGCTTTTTGTACAATTGCTTGTGGATCTGTTGCAATTATTTTATAGAAATGTTATCATGATGCAGGTGTCTATGAATCCTTTGACACAATATGTATATATTTGGAGAGTGATCAATCAGCTGGAAGTGATCCGGACAAGAACTTTTGGGTTCAATATAGAATGGCTGTTGTAAATCAGAAGAACCCTGCAAAAACTGTTTGGAAGGAGTCATCTATCTGCACAAAGACATGGAACAACTCTGTGCTCCAGTTTATGAAGGTTTCTGACATGCAAGAAGCAGATGCTGGTTTCCTTGTCCGGGACACAGTGGTCTTTGTGTGTGAAATTTTGGATTGCTGCCCCTGGTTTGAGTTTTCCGACCTTGATGTAAGTTTTATGGTATCCGTTTAGCTTGTAGATGATGGAGAGTATTTTAATTGATATTTTTATCTATTCCTTGTCACCCTTGATGTGCTCAACCTAGGAACTGAAGAAAAATTGACAGATGTCATTTTGAATGATCTGTATTAATAGTATTGCCAAAACATGATGTCTCACATTCTGTGCATAATATTTTCGATCTCGCAAAATATAGACAAAAAAAGTCCAAATATTTTATGTGATGGTTACAGTATTTGATGTCTTGTTGGCAAGCCCTTACATAATCATGGATTGTTGAGTTGGGAATAATTGTATTCCCTGAACCCATATCAGATTCAATGGGGAGAGGCGTAGTTTTGTGTTGGCTTGGGAAAACTTATTTCTTATTTGTGTCCGATATGCGGAAATGATGTGAATCGGAAGACTCTCATTTGAGTTATTTATTGGGATTTTTAAGGCTAGAAAGTGCATTTCTCTTGTCATGTATTAAACACGAGTAGAATTGTGGATAAAATATTGCCCTTTCGAACGTGTTAAGACATCGTTTTATTAGTAAAATCATGTCTTCGACTGGTAAAAAGTGCTCAGAATGATCTAAAAAATTGCTGAATTGATGAAGAAGTGGAACATACGAACTGATGGAAAAGTGTCAATCCCGTTTTCGCTTTCTTGAATACATAAGTAGCCTGCAAACAGTCTAATTTATTGGCATGGTAGTTCTTGAGAGTTACTATGTACTATCTGAAAATCTCTCCTATTTCTTTGTCTTTATATTCCATAGTGAATTGTTACAATTTCAAGCTCTCTGAATTTTGAGCCTCATTATGGAAATATCACAAAAGCTGCACTTATTCGGCGTCATAATTCCTGATTCTGGGAATAGATTTCATCCAGATGTTTGGACCTTGTTCTTATCTGATAGATGGGCTTTATCTCTGTATAGAAAGTAATTTTTATGGGTTGACCATCGAATGCCACTCTTGCATCAATAATCTTTCCAGAATCGAGGGAGAGTTCCATTGGTATTATATTTTCATGATGGTTGCGTGAACTTTTCTTCATTATAATATTTCTTGGATTTGGGAGAGAGGATGTGTAAAAAGGATTGGGGCCCCATTTTTTATACGAATGGCAATATTTACCGTTACTACTTTCTATCTTTAGTTACTAATCTTGGCCTAGCCATCACTGTCATGGTATATCAGGCTTTATTAAAATTTCCAACTCCCATAAGGAAAGTTTCTGCTTTCTTCCTCTAGAAAAAATATCGTTTTGAGATAATCCTTCAACAAGGAAAATGTTATACCCATGCTATTTCCTACACTGCTTTTTCAGGCATCGGAGGGATGGAAGTGATATGAATTCAAACTAGACAGAAGTCATATAATATAATAATAGCAAGGAATCCACAATTAACTGGGTGATATGGTTTTTCTCCTTCCCTTTGATTTGTTTCTGACTTCTTGTTTTTCAGTATTTTTCATGCTTCCAGATTTTATTTAAAAAATATTAATGTGTTAACTAAGGATTTGGACAGCTTATTTATTTCTCAATTTTTTATTTTTCTTTGGTGAGGCAGTTGTAAGGTTTCTAGTTCTCAAACTTTTCTTACTCCAACCACCCGAATTTTCGATTATTTGCAGAGGAATCCTACTAATTTTCATCGTTTAGTCAATTATTTATTTTAAGATTAATTTTATTCCTCATGTAGTGAGGTCTCAAGTTCAACGCAATTTATTGAGATCGAGTGTGTGAAACAGGGGTGTACAGGCAGATGTTCCTGGATTTCGCCCTGGTCCAGTTTGTCATGCCTGAGGTTTTTCTTTTGTTTTTGGCTTGACCTGATGCAGCCAACAGCCCATGTAGTTTGATGGCCGGGGAAGGGGCGGAGGTGCATGTTTTCTGGTGAAGTGTGGAGCAGATTTGTGGCACTTCTCTTCTTGTTTGCTTATTTTTTTGCCTGTAATGGCTTTTACCGTTTTAAATTGAAGATGATGTCTTACGAATATTTTTCCAGAAGTGATGGTGGTTGACTGTGCTTTTCAGTCATTACTTTTCTGTAGTATGAGCCTACATCTTATGTTCCTTGTCTAATTATCTCAATTTCTATAATATGTGTTAGGCACTTGCTTCTGAGGATGATCAGGATGCATTGTCAACAGACCCGGATGAACTCATTGATTCTGAGGACAGTGAATGTGTTAGTGGAGATGAAGAGGACATGTTTAGAAATCTCTTATCTCGGGCAGGGTTTCACCTCACTTATGGAGATAATTCCTCACAACCACAAGTCACCTTGAGGGAAAAGCTCTTGATGGATGCTGGAGCCATAGCTGGATTTCTGACTGGATTGCGTGTCTATCTCGATGATCCAGCTAAAGTCAAGCGCTTGCTTCTTCCAACAAAACTATCAAGTAGTAGCGTAGGGAAGAAAGATATTACCAGGAATGATGCAAATTCTCCAAGCCTGATGAATTTACTGATGGGAGTCAAAGTCTTGCAGCAGGCTATTATAGATTTACTGTTGGATATAATGGTTGAGTGTTGCCAGCCATCAGAAGAAAGGGGGAGCCAAGATTCACCAGATGTAGTCTCGAAGTCTTGCTCTGATGATATCGGATTTGTGACGTCAGAACCCAGGGAAGACAGTTCCACTACAGATTGTGCAGTACAGAGTTCTGTGTACCAGAGGCTGGACCATGGATCAGAGGACAATAACAGTGGTTATGCTGTACAGAGTTCAGATCTGACTGCCAATGAAACAGATGAGAAGATTGATCCTGTTCGGCCTTGTTTTCCTTCTGTCACATCAGCTGAAGATCTTTCAGTAGATGATGGCTTTATTCGATCTAAGGTGATGAGCTAATTAAAAATCTGTAGATTTCATTAGTTTGTGCTTCCTATCTTTTATTAACATTTATTTCAAAACTCCATTTTAATCAGCTAATTGAATAACTATTTTGCAGACCAAATGGCCAGAACAGTCTGAGGAGTTACTTGGGTTGATTGTTAATTCCTTGAGTGCCCTTGATAGTGCTGTTCCCCAAGGCTGTCCAGAACCCAGAAGAAGGCCTCAGTCAGTTCAGAAGATTGCTCTTGTTTTAGACAAAGCTCCTAAGCATCTTCAGCCAGATCTAGTTGCTCTGGTGCCTAAACTGGTTGATAACTCAGAACATTCCCTTGCTGCTAGTGTTCTGATTGACTGCCTTCAGAAACCAGATAAAGAAACTGAGCTTTGGATGCCGGTATTTCCTGTAACTTTTACCGATTTGACATTTTCTTTATTCTGCCTTTTTTTTTTGGGTTTCTTTATTCTATTGTGAAAAATTGAGTAATCATTATCTTTGTGCATTTCTTCGATGTTCTTAGTCATCTGTTAAATGAAAAAATGTCAGGTATTTGGTGCTCTCAATCAGTTGGAATTTAGTCCTGAGGTTTGGCAACGTGCACTCTTTCAAGCTTTTAATCTGTTGGCTGATAGCAATGATGAACTTCTGGTAGCAGCTATCAGTTTTGTTTTCAAGGCTGCATCACAGTGCCAGCTGCTTTCTCACGCGGTATATCTTTCAATCTCCATAGTGTCAACAGTAGTGATATCTTTTTATGCTTTCTGATAATTGCCTTCCCTATAATTTATGGGATTTATAGTCCAGTCCACTAATTTTCAAAGCTTGGGTGAGCAGGCTAGAGCAGTCCGTTCAAGATTGAAAAGCTTGGGTCCTGGAGTCCCACAATGTGTTCTGGATGTTCTAGGCAAGACAGTCAGCACATGGGCTGATGTTACTGAAGCTATTTTGAGGGATATTGACTCAGATATTGAGCCTGATGGAGATTCCTCATTAACAACTCGCACAGTTTTTCCTGATAGTGTTAATGCTCTTTCAATGGGATTGTTGAGTACTTCTGAAGAACAGGCTGTTTATGGCAGTCAACACATAGCAGACATTTATGTCTTAATCGAGATGCTTTCCATTCCTGCCATTTTTGTTGATGTCTCTCAGGTTTTTGTGAGAGCTATTTCTCGTGGAGCCATTACTCTGCAGTCAGTGGCCATGGTGCTGGAAAGACGCCATTCACAGATGTTCGCCATGAAATCCAGCGCTGCAGCTGATGGTGTTCAAAGTAACGACCTGGCCGAGAAAAAAGATGAAGCATTACCAGTCCAAAATGATGACTATACTTCATTTCTTAATCTAGGTCAAGTATTATCTCTCTCTAAAGATTCCAGGGTGCAGGATTTTGTGAGGATGCTTTATGCTATAATGTTTAAAATATATTCTGATGCGAATCACCATGAAATGCTATTGAAAACACTCGTTGATAATGCAACAAGTAGCTCAGATGGTCAAGTTGTAGAGATTGATATGGATGTCTTGGCATTCTTGGTTCGAGAAGAAGATGGCGTTGCCAGAGAGGTTCTAAACATGCTGCGGAAGGTTTGTGAGCTTGCACATGTTGACCGTGCAACACTTTGGCATCAGTTATGTGCTATGGAAAATGAAAATCTAAGAGCTCAGGAAGATCGGAAGACAGAACTGGCCAATTTTTCTCGAGATAAGGCAGTTCTGGCGCAAAGACTGAGTGAATCAGAGGCAACTGTAAATCGTCTTAAGGTATCCGATCCCATCCTATATTGGAAACACTACCGTTCGTCTAGTCCTGTTTGTTTTCTATTTAAGCTCCTGTTGCTAATGCATGCCTTTCAATTTTGACAGTCTGAGCTAAGGGCTGAGACTGAACGTTTTGTTCGTGAAAGGAAGGAGCTTTCTGAACAAATAGCAGAGGCTGAAAGTCAACTAGAATGGGCTCGTTCTGAAAGGGATGAGGAAGTCAAAAAGCTGTCTGCTGAAAGGAAGGTCCTTCAGGATCGTCTTCATGACGCAGAAGTTCAACTTTCTCAGCTGAAGTCTCGAAAGAGGGATGAACTTAAGGTAAACGACGTGTTCTTGTTGCTTCACATGTAATGATGCTGTGCATTAGGAAAATAATTCATGCATAGAGTATTTCTCCAAGTGTATGCCCGTTTGTTTTTCCTTATGGTTGCCTTCTGCAGTGACAGAGGTACCTTGTTTTATTTTTGTTGATAACTATTGTCTTCGGTCGTTACCATTTCCTGCAGGCGCTAACATTCTAATTTGACACTCGGCAAACAAGCTATTGACAAAGTTGACGAATAATTTATACTCTCAGTTATTTTTTCAGTAGTAATATTGCAACATTTCTTGAGAGACAGCAGAATGATGCCTAGAAACTGGCTTGTAGCATCAGTTATTATACTTGTGATAAATAAAGATAACTGGCGTTGTGGTGATTGCATGAATGGTGGTGTTTCTAAACTTAGAATTAGAATCAGGATCCAGAGAAAGAGAATATTTTTTCATTGATTCCCAATGACAAAGGTCGGTTTCATTCCTGTGAGATATTTTTTAAAACAGTAACTGCATTCCAACTACGGAAGTACACCTGCACATCCTTGCCATGCCCATGATGATAAAATATTTTGCTGAAGTTTTTTTCTTTAATTAATATGCATATGATAAACGAACACTTCGATTTTTTCGGATGGTTTATCTTAGAGCGTCACAATTAATGTTAAAAGTTTCAATTCATATTTAACAACTGCACTGTCTAGAAAAAAAAACGACGTTTTTTATGGATTTTTGTTTACTTGCGTGCCAAAGCCTGATTATATAGCTTGATTTTCCCTGGATCACTTTCTTGATCTGTAATTAACAAGTGTGTTGTTTTGTCAAATTACTTTAAACGAGAAGTTTGAGCGGCTTCTGATCAGGCGAGCACACTGTAACTAGTTTGTATTATCTTACGGATCCTAGTTTTTTATTTGGGAGAGTCCCAGAGGATTTAGTAATGCCTGCATTTCTTGTTTGATTGCTCCTCTTAATCGGTGAGATCCCATTATGTGGAATTGGAAGCTTTCGAGAAACACTTCAACCGTTTAATTCTGGTCTATTTGTTTCTGGGATACCTAAATCTACATACATCTTCACGATTTTTTATTTATTATCTTACTTACTTTCAGCTTAGCATATGAAATGACGAAATTGTTCTCTTTCTTATTTATTTATTGACATTGAACTTGTACGGAATTTGTACTCGGCAGAAAGAAATTGCACTTGCCTATTTATGGTTGAACATAACTGAGTATTTGAAACTTTTCCAGCTCTCTGTTCCCCTTCCAAGTGTCTTCACCAGTTTGTACTGCTGTTCTTTACAAGGGTGTATAAAGTTTCATGCTTCTGACTTTGTGATCTTTTTTTCACGCTTAGTATGAGACGTCCATGTTCATACTCGTACTAATATTTTGCTGGATATATCCGCACAGAGAGTTGTGAAAGAGAAGAATGCCTTAGCTGAACGGTTGAAGAGTGCAGAAGCAGCAAGGAAGAGGTTTGACGAAGAGTTGAAACGCTATGCTACAGAGACTGTAACGAGGGAGGAAGTTCGGCAATCATTAGAAGATGAAGTCCGGCGGCTGACCCAAACAGTGGGACAGACAGAGGGAGAAAAACGGGAGAAGGAAGAACAGGTTGCTCGATGTGAGGCATATATTGATGGAATGGAGGCAAAGCTGCAGACTTGCCAGGTTTCCCCTCTTCCTTCCCCTTGTTCTTGTTTTATATCCCTCCCTACCCTATTTGAAGCAATTTACTTGGCAAAGTCAAGTTTCAATATTTTATCCTCCCTCTGTTATCTGTCAAAGGGTTATAACAAGTATTGTTATTCCTCTATTTGTCTTGGAGGATCATTGAAAAAAGTTGATAACTTGTCATTATGGGATCATGTGTCGTGGCTTCTCTTGGCTGCGTGTCTGGGCTCTGGCTAATGGACAACATCGAGTTATTTGATGCAGGAACCATGGAATAATTACAAGAATAATCCAAATATTTATCAGCGTTGACATTTCAATGATCTGGTGGAGTGGGTTACTGTCGAATCACCATTGGTTTGAACTATTTTAAGTAACAATCATTCTCTGCATATTAGGCTTCAAAGACATATTCTTGTGGTCATGGTAGCTTATGAGCATGTCTTTCTTAATCCGCCTCTATTTTTTCCTGAATAATTTCTTTGCATGCAATATTTAGGACTTAGCCATCAGTTTTTCTGGCCAATATGTAATAATTTCAGCCTCTGCTCTTGTATCCAGTAGTGCAGACTTCTTCTATCTCTACACATCTCCATTTTGATTAGCTTCTTGGTTCTCTCCTGATCCCCTGCACTTTTCCATTTGCAGCAATACATCCACACGCTGGAAGCGTCGCTACAAGAGGAAATGTCCCGCCACGCCCCACTCTATGGAGCCGGCCTTGAGGCCCTATCGGCCAAAGAGCTCGAGACGATTGCCCGCATCCATGAGGAGGGGCTCCGGCAGATTCACGCCGTCCAGCAGCAGCGAAAGGGAAATGCCAACTCCCTATTGAGCGGCCACGGGCTCCCTCACACCCACTCCTTATACCCCACCTCAGCCGCCATGGCTGTCGGGCTGCCGCCGTCGATAATCCCCAATGGTGTCGGGATCCACGGCAAGGGGCAGATGAATGGCGGCATGGGTCCCTGGTTCAACCCCTCCTGAGAGCTTGGAGCCGCCGACCTGTAAGCGATTCTCCTGCTTGCTTGCTTGCTTGCTTGCCTTGCCTTGCCTTGCCTTGCCCGCGTTCTTTCACTGGCTCGGGGAGTCTGAACTAATCCACATGATCCATTTGAACTGGTTACGGCTGTCAGATTATCACCCCCAATACTTGCAGTGTCATATAAATAAGAAATAGAGAGGAAGATAATGCTTGGAGAGATTTAATTTTTTGTAATTATGATCAGTCAGAGGCTGAGATCGAGAGGAGCTGGTTGTGGCAAATGGAAAGGCCCAGGAGGCATTGGGATGGCCAAGCCGGAGGTCTAGATTCTTTTGTTTCCACTATTGTCAAAGTTTTTACATCCTTTTACCTTGGAATCCTGAGGAGGGTTACCTCTTCTACCCAAAGTCTTATCGTTTTTTTGGATGTTTCCTCCATCTTCTGCAACGGATCCCCCCTCCCGCTCTCCCCTCTCATATTTCTTGGCAGAGGGCAGTGTGTTTGACCCAGGCCATCCTTTAAAGCCTGGAACAAGCCATTGGGATGGTGTCCAGCCTGGCCAACCTTGAGAATTAATCGTCAAAATGCTGTTTGATGATGCTAACTGTTGTTTTATGATGCTGGCTGTAGCTCACATCACCACTATCACTGCCATCATAATTATCCCTTGGTTTTATTTGAGGAAATATTCAAGGAACTACATAGTTTATCAAGGGGTTTTGAATTCTAGAGAATAGAATCTTGGAATGTTGTTTGATATTTTGTTTGGCTTAAACTATTATGTTCATCATCATCATCATCATCATCATCACCATTCCAGAATATTCAAGGAATTACATAGTTTATCAGGGGGTTTTGAATTCTAGAGAATAGATTCTTGGAATGTTTGATATTTTTGTTTGGCTCAAATTAGTGTTCATCATCACCATTCCAAAATATTCAAGGAATTACATAGTTTATGAAGGGGTTTTGAATTCTGGAGAATAGATTCTTGGAATGTTGTTTGATACTTTTGTTTGGCTCATAATGTTATGATCATCATCATCATCATCATCATCATCATCATCACTTCAACCGCGTTAGATCAATATAGGATGTACTCAATGTGTTTTAATAAGGTTATTCCAAAAATTTGACAATGAACTCACAAAGTGCTTAACTACTCTAATTATCCTATTTTTTGCTTTATAATATAGCTATCGTTATGATCATGCTCCTGATAGCTGCCTCCTATTTTCTCAGATGAGTATAGCGAGAGGCTCCCTAGAGCTTATAACTTTTGGTACATTAGTTTTTAGATGGGGGGCACTTATCTCTAAATGAATTAATACAGTTTGAAAACTGAGAACTTGGGCCTGGCCCAGTTTTTTTGGGCTTGGGCCTCAAAACTTTGTGCAAGAGAAAGGAAGGCTTGCTCCATCTGACTTAGCTGCCCAAGATCTAAACATATAAATATCAACCATTTTCGTTATAAAAGTGGCAATGTTTCGAGTGGCCAGATCTTACCATAAATAGAAATTTTGCTCAAATCTTGCATGTTCCCCGCCAGATCTTACATGGTCATTTTGTACATGTACCCAGAAGCTCTCATAATTGGAAATTAGGGTTCTTCTAATATGGTATCAACATCTTGTGGAGGGTGCCTAGCTTAGCTTCATGGGCCACACCTTATATGAAGCACATATATTCAGTAGAGCAATCCCTCACTTAGTCATGAAAGTTATGAAGCAACGTTAGAAGTCAATCATCAAACATATCTTAAGATCATTTAATAAGCCATTTAGGGAAAGAAGACCCTTCTTGCTTCCTTATTTGGCAAAAACTATAACACACCAATTGAAGAGAATCACATGTAAGCAAATTGTTTAAATTTGAAAAATATCTCTGAAAGATATCATTCAGTCTATTTTAGGATCCCTAGTGAAGGTTGCAAGCTTAAACTCTTGATAATCTGGTATTATAATCAAGAAATAATCTTGATAATTTGTTTCGCTAAAGCATCATTCTTGACATCAATAATGAGAGAAAAATAATAGACAATCTAAATTCATGACCGAGCTCTTGTGAAATACCTATTGGCAAGGTTGACTTTCAAGTAATGGTCCAAGTCCCATGCATCTTTCTTAGATATTTCTGCAAAAATGAGCCAAAAATACTGGTGGCCCTCCATGAAAGATGTACAGGGGGAAAAAAAAAAAAGAGCTACTTTTGAGGGTGATTTTTGCTAAATTTGCCAACCATTTCAAAGAAGTAAAAAGTCAACGCATAATCCCCTCGATGCCTCTACCTCTAAGAGTTTCCGAGTAAGCCACAAGTACAACCCAGCGATCCCTCCGCTTGGGGAGAGGTGTAGTAGTAGTAGTAGTAGTAGTAGGGCCGGGAGGTTTAGGCGTTGACCTTTTTCTTCGGTCTTTTCTTCGCCTGGGTCACGAGTAAGGTTACGAAATGGGCCTGTTTTGGGCCACGCCCAATACTCCCATTTTTATTTATTTCGGAATTTAGTCGATTTGGAAATGTGAGGAAAAAAATAAAATCGGGCGAGCGACGGAGGAACAGCCTCCGTTCCTGTCTTGTAACTACGACTACGTGGGGCTTCTCCTCCTCGTCCTTCCTCTGCCACCAAATCATGAGCCTACCATATCCACTGAACTCTCTCTCTCTCTCTCTCTCTCTCTCTCTCTCTATGTGGGTGTGGTACTTCATAACGGTGACAAAAACATACGCTCGAGGGAGGGAGGGGGGAGAGAGAAAGTAGGCGTGAGGAAGAAAGATGAGCTCGGCACTGCTTCCTGCAGCCACCGTCTTCTACTCGCCCTCTGTTGGGTCTCCAGGCCGCTTAAAAAGGAGGCCTCTTCCGCCGCCGGCAGGCCAGCGCCGGCGGACTGGCGGCGCCGGCGCCGGCGCCGGCGGGTGGCAGCTTATGCCCGTTGTGGCGGCCAATTCTTCCGACGGCAAGGGAGACGAGGGGTCCTCGTTCAACCCGTTTGGATTTGTAACGGATAATCCTTCCAGTAGGAGCGCCATCCAGCTCCCTGAGTCGCCGGCTGAAGACGGAAATGTCGGCCAGATGCTCTACGTAATGACTGACACCCATCGCCCACTCTTCCCCTTAATGTCAGGCTGCTTCCGATTGCCCTAAGATCTCTATGATTTGAAGGCTAATTTTTCTTATTTTGGATAAGGCAGTGAACTTTCTTCATAAATTTGTTATATAAATAGAGTTTAATCGTTAGAGATTTTCGCTAGATAATAGCAACCCAATTAATTTTTGTCATGTAACGAAGATCATCAGAGAATTTTGATGATCGTGCTAGGGGTTTTATCATTTCTCCAAAGAACCTGCATTGGTTTTACGAAAATATTGCGAGTTCAATTAAGTTTGATTTAAAAAAAATAAATCAATACGTTTGTGTTTGTGGTTTGAAAGAAAACCAAGATAATTCATTTCTTACATTTTTTTACACAATGATGGTGAAGACCTAATCCCACCTAAATATCAGATTATGTAGTGACCAAGCTACAGGCTTAGTTATTCTTCTAAAGGCCTTCCATTGTTTTTACAAAGAACACGACGATGAATATAAAATTTGAATATTTTATATAATCCATTTGTCTGTGGAATTGATCACTTATCGAAAGTGCGATAGACATAAAACTCGGTGTAATCTTGATAATTTTTTAGAATTTTTTTTATGATGGCCATACTAACTAGCTAATCCTTCATAAATCTTTTTTTTTTCTCATTCATCAACGATTCTCGATAAATCGCATTAATTATTCTTTTTAATGAAGTTCGCATTAGTTTATGAAGAATAATGTCCTTAATTTCTGCCTTATGGACTAAAATATCTGTCTTCATGTGATAGACAGTCACTTCCTTTCCGTTCTGTTTCTATGTGGGAGATACAAATGGCAGCCATCTGTGGCCCATTCTTTATGATGTTTCCCTTGTTCTTCTCTCTATCTGGGGATGTTCAAAGACTTTCACCAGTCCACGGAAACATCTTCTTCTCCTTTGAAAGTAAGAAGGTGAACGAACTATGTCATAGTTTATTAGTTTCTAGAGGACCAAGAGGTCTCTAAATGTCTCCGAAGCTGTCCAATTCAGCCTCATAGATATCAAAATAACGAAGTTTCTGCTTGCTCTCTGATAGGAAGGACTAAAGGGCCTTCGAAGAATTCTTCTCTCTGTGATATGAAATTGGGAATATTGTACTCTTTTGGCACGATGGGGTCATATGTTTTACGCAAAAAAATTACAAAAGAGTGAGAAAATACCTTTCAACCGATGCAAACTTGTATTTTATGGGAGATTAAACCGTTCATTTTATTTGTGACTTTGGCTGCTACTCAGTGCTTTTACTTTAGACTCTGCTCGAGTTTACTTGAATTTGGTGAAACATTATTCGAGTTAGGGATAGGACTGGTGCTTTCCACTCAGTGGAAAGCTTGCTTGCTCAGAGTTATCTAACCTTCCCAGGTTGCAAGTTTGGTCAACTCTATACATAATTAATTCCTTTAGTAGTGTTTTTGCTGACAATGGGTACAGGGTTTAGTGGTTTCCTCTTTTAGTCGTATTCGGTCTTAGTCACTATTTGAAATCCACAACAGGGTGGTTGAATTGATCGATTATTGCCCTATCAGTTACCGTTACATTGGCTGCAGACCAGAAAATCCCTTTTCAAAAAACTTTGAAAATGGTATCAGTCAGTTGATTGTTTATGAGTTGTTGAAATAACAATCAAGACCCAAATAGGTGTATGCTTGATGAAATTTCCGGAAACATAAACTCCTCAAAGGAATTGTACAAAGTAATCGTTTTTCTTACTTTTGATACAAACTATTCACACATCACCCATAATACTTGGTTCTAAGGGAGACCTACCCCTAATTTTCCTTTTTGTTGAGCTTCTTCTTCGGCTTATTAAGTCACTCTTTACCTCGTTGGACGTGGCTGTTCATGACGTCCATCCAAGGGGATGGATCTTGATAGGCTGCGTCAGAAATTACTGCACTGAAGAAGTTTAGGACAGATGAACACCTAGCTTTCATTTCAGATGGTTCTTGATCTCAGTTAGGATTACAATGATGCTTTATTGATCCATATATTACTACATTTTTTATTTATTTATGATATTTAAGAACAAACTGAGAAGTAACTGCGGCATTAATCCCTAGTATAAATTTTTCTTTCCACATTCTTCTTTTAATTTAGTTTTTTTTTGTTTCTTTCCTGTTTCATTCAGAGAATACAGGACAAAGGGAAGGAGTATGGCTCTTATGTCAAATCGGGGAAATTCAGGTGGTTTGTGAGAGAAACAGGTATCCATCTTTTGTTCGTTTGAAAGTATGCAAGTGGCTATTAAGGGCTGCCTAGTCAGCATCCATAATCATTCTTTGTATTTATGATATATAAAAAAATTTCAATCGAAGCAGGTTTCCAAATTAAATAGAGAAATCCTGAATGTAACATATTTTCCATTACTAGGGAGCAGATATTGATCCTAGTTTCCATTCCATTCATATCGTTCATGATTTAGAGAGAGAGAGATCATGAAGGTAACATATTTTTAGGAGCCTGAATCATGAACGATATGAGTGGCATGTAAATTTCGATTGATTTCTGCTACTAAACTTTTCCAGAATGTATCATGAGAGGTGTGACATATAATAGCAACTAAGAAGGCTGACAGTAGAATGACTTCAATCGCATGATGATCATGAAAAACATACTGAGAAGGAAGCTCGTTTTGCATAAAATTATTGAAACTTGCTTCCTGTTTCTTTCATTTATATCTCACTTGAACCTTAAATTTTAGCTCTAATGCTTACCAAAACAGACCTACTTTCTGATTTTTTTTCATGTGCTTTGTTTCCATTTTGATAGTCGTGATAAAATGAGTAGGTTCCACGACAAGCAGACCTTTTGTTGATGAAAGGTTAATTGTAGGAGTCCTTTTGGGGCCCAGAGAGGAAACCTACGATGGCTTGACTTCGTGTCATCCGAAAAAAAATCTTCATCGAATTTAATTTCATATTAATCTTTTGAGCATCAGCTCATTTGCCTAGTATTGATGTGAAATTTCCCTATATTTTTTTAATTATTATGCCATTTTTTTCCCACACTTGTATCCTAGTTTTTATGATGAAGAAACAGTTCCAAGAATAGTGTATTTGTGATCGCATGAGAGATTCTCTGTCATAGAAAAGATAAATATCATTCCATAATAGTATTTGCTCTTATAACACATGCTTTTGGAAAACCATTTTTGTAGGTTCATCAGATAACTGTCGTGGAACCATCGTGTTTCTCCATGGGGCTCCAACGCAATCTTTTAGCTATCGTGTGGTTATGGCTCAGGTATTTTGTTAATCTTCTGTCCGCTTTGATATGCATGACCATATGTCACGCCATAGTGTCTGCATATTTAGTCTTCATCTTTCTCTGTTATTGAAAATTTTAATTCGTCATCTCTTTCATTCTAACCCTTAATTGCAATACCAAATCCATATCTTTCTATTGAATTATTTGACTGCTGAATTTTTCCTCTGTTTAACAATAACCTACACTCATACATATCAATCTGCATTTAAAATCACGATATACTGTGATAGTATGAAAGTTCAGGTGAGCTTTGTGCTTGGTCTGCCTCTTCTGGAAACTGAAGGAATTCGCATCGACGTTTTCAGCAGAAATCAGCAGTCAGCATAAAACTGTCACCTTGTGAAATTTGACTCGTTTGGAGCTCAGAAATGCCCAAAAGTTTCTATCATTGACCTTTAAAGGTCATGAATGGGAATCGTCCAATTCTATTAGATGATGATGACCCTTATGTTGGTGCTTCTTTTAATGCAGAGAAGTTTTAGTTATTTGTTTTCCAAAATCATTCATTTACTTAAAAAAACTTATTAAATGATAATTCCGAATGTAATGCGTGCAAAAGTGAAGCTACTGACATGAAATGGAGATTCGGTGAACATTCATACTTAGATATTTCAAACAAGGAATACTCATCGGGAAAATGATGTTTGTTGTGGAAGATGGACGAGGTACACGCGTCATTGTAAAACCCTGAAGATGAACTAGGGCAGGGAACCATGATGCTGATTTGATTATGATGATGATTTTACATAGACGATACAACGCTTTAGACCTTGTGACTTTGTCTTTGACGACATTGAGATGTCGATTCATTCATAACCAATTCCTGGCGAGGAAATATTTTGCAGTTTCCTTCCCTGAATATAGGTCTGCATGCAATGTTTAATCATAGGTCTGAATGACCGCTAGCCAAAGAGGATGTGGATTGAACTGGGAAGATTCTATCGATCATTTTTCGGAAATTATCTTAGGCAACCCTTGTTTGTTCTGCTCTGTGAAAATGCAGATTCACCAAAGTTGGATCGGATATACTTATACCATGCCTAATTAAAGATATTTCTATGTGTCCATATGCCACGAAAAATTTGCAACCAGCCCTCTTAAGTAACTTCATGCTACAATTTACTAATTATGTAGGTGATCATCTTCAGAATAGCTTTTTTAACTGTTGCGAGAATCTCCATTACGTGATCATCTAAAATTTATGTGCGTGAATAATTTTTCTTTTGATGCTTTACGTAACTCTCATGTGGTTATACGTCGCAATCCAATTGGTCTCGAAAATTTATCTTTAATATTTTTTCGCAACTAAGTAATTCTTATCAAAACAGATGGCTGAGGCTGGTTTCCACTGCTTTGCGCCAGACTGGATAGGATTTGGTTTCAGTGACAAACCACAGCCAGGTTATGGATTCGACTACACAGGTATGGGTGATTTACTTTTCGTTTACCACATAGCTCTCCCTTGACATGTTTTTCTTAATTGTGGAAAACCAGAGAAGGAATTCCATGAAGAACTTGAAAAGCTCTTAGCTGTGCTGAAAATTGATTCTCCATTCATCCTTGTATCTCAGGTTACACTTAACAGAAAATCTGGCAATTATCTTTCTCTGAATTTTTTGAAGATGGTAATAAATTATTTCAGTTGCAATGTAAAGATGGCAAAATACATTTTTCCATGCAATGAAAAAAACTTAGGAGGAAAATATTTAGCCGGAATGAATATAATTATAATTATTTATATTTTTTATGTTTTAAATATTTACATCTGCCTTCGTATTTTGCAGGGTTTTCTTGTAGGTTCGTATGGGTTGACGTGGGCTCTAAAGAACTCAGAGATGGTCTCAAAGATTGTACTTCTTAATGGCCCACTGACAGCTTCATCTCCTCTTCCTGGGTTGTTTCAACAGCTAAGGTCAGATTTTTGATCAGTCTATTGAATCTATCATTTGGCGAAAAAAATAAATGATCTTGGTCTTTTTTATTTCATCTGTAAATAGTTTCACTGACATCTTTAGTTCCATTCCTCGTACAAACCTTATTGTATTATATTTTATTTTAATTATGGTTCCCATTATTTCAGGATTCCACTCTTCGGAGAATTTACATGCCAGAATGCTGTTATGGCTGAGCGTTTCATCGAAGCAGGTAGCGCGTATGTATTAAAAATGCATCTTCTTTGTCCTGTCTTTCCATTTTCTGTAGGACTAATCTTTTATCTTTCATTTTTTTTATTTCCTATGAGTATAGTTCAGGATTCATATTTACTGATCTTACATCTTATCTCTTGGCAGTTATATGCTAAAGTTGGAAAAAGCTGATGTATACCGTTTACCATACTTAGCAAGTAGCGGGCCCGGATTTGGTTCGTATTTCTTGATACTTAATTATTTATCTGCGTTTGTATATTTTTTTAACTGAAAAAGGATGTAAAGATAAATGGAGTTGGAAAGCAAATGTTCTCATAATATTCTTACAGAAAAGAGATCCCCAACTGTCCATTTCACATTGTAGAGTTGAGTGTTCAAGTGAAGAGCTAGTAACCTTCCTGCCCTATCCAATGATATAATGCGGCTTGCATAACTTGAGGAAGAAGTTGTTTATTTTCTGTGACAATAGTTGAGAACCTCATCTTCACGCTGTTTATATGAGAAACATGTATCTTATTATAATTAGCACACTTTGGTCGAAATTATTGCTTTCTTATGCTCAATATCTGACGGCCAGTACGACGAAAGCTCAGGCCCATTTCGATGAGTCACTAGAGTAGATGGTTCACATAACTGGGAGTAAAGTCTCAAATTCTCTTTCAAGAACCGGCTTTTAGTCTTCTGTGTTTATGGAAAATGGTAGACGAAAAGGAAGAGCACATCGTCTTACTGAAGAAAGTTTTGGAATATTTTTGAATTTTGGCTGTGATGTTTCCCTTTCTATATTTTGATTATAGCTCTACTTTCTGAGTGATCATCTGCCACTACTAGTATATCATATCTTCACCAACTCATTGTATCCTAAACATTTAAAATTGCATGGGAAAACTAGGCCACAGGTTAATATTCTTTCTTCTCCGAGTATAATATTAACTCCATGAGATAATATGAAGTGAATGTAAAATCTGATCATGTTAATTATCTTTAGTGCTTTTATGTAGTGATTTTCCCTTCACTTATCATTTGTACAGTAGTTTTTTTGTAGAAAAGGAAAATAGTAGATAATAGATAACTTCTAGTGAAGCTCACAATGACCCACTTTTCTTCTCAATGTTCCTAGCTTTGCTCGAAGCTGCAAGAAAAGCTGATTTCAAGGAGATATCTACTCGAATAGCAACTGGATTTTCGTCAGGAAGGTGTGGATTAACTCAATATTTCTACTTTCTTCAAAGTTTCGAACTACATGGGTTTCTTCTTTGTCTCCTTTTATAGTCACTTCATTCGTCAAAGGCTCCGTCCTACTGTCAGATGTTGAAGTTATTAGAAACCCAGTAAATGACTCCAAAATTAATTTTTTTCCTTAAATCTGTCACTTTCCATTCAGTACCCTTGGCAAGAAGGTGTGTGATACATGTAAATTTATCACATCTTAGATATTCCTTATGGGCATGCATTCTCTTAGTCAACTTTGGTTCCAATGAGTCTATCATAACAAAAGGCGACATGATCTCCCCCCCCTTTTTTTTTCTCTGTTAAAAATCCTCAACATGAATCATTTGAGCGTTACCAGCCATGAAATCAACTTCATTTTCTTGAAATTTCAAGGAAAGAAATATTTTTTCGTTTACGTTTCATCAGTGGTGGTAAACTTGGCCTTAATGTTCTATCAGTCTCAACAAAATGCAATATGATCTCACTTTCTCTCTCCATTCCAAGCCTCAGTCCATGAATATGGAGTGTTCCCATTTCCATTTACCTGTCACAAGTGGCGGTAAATATGATACCCTGATTCTTCGTGGCAGATGGGAGAAGCCCATACTTCTGGCATGGGGAGTGTCAGATAAGTATCTGGCTCAATCAGTTGCAGAGGAGTTTCAAAGGGGTAACCCTGGTTTAGTCAAACTCAAGCTGATAGAAGGCGCTGGTCATATGCCACAGGAAGACTGGTGAGCCCTCGAATTTTAATACCATTTATTTCCCTTTTTTTAATTTAATTTCTCTCTACGAGCTACTAATCTTCTAACCATTATTTTTAAAAAAAATCTATATTTAAATTTTTTTTTCTGATCAGGCCAGAGAAGGTTGTTGAGGCAATGAAAGTGTTCTTATGAGGCGTTTGCTTCAAGGACTCCAAGCATTAAGGTTGGAAGTAGGTGACATATCAGTACCTTTTAATTTTCATAAGTTATGTATGGTACCTGCTTACAGAATTTGGAAATAATTTCCGTTTCTGTACATTTCTTTCAGAAGAGCATCTGAAACTGCCTCAGCATTTTCTGATGGTGAAGAGAATTTCGAGGAAGTTCCAACTTGTTTGTGCATATTCTAATTTACCCATTTTCAGCACAAAATAATATATTTTTTAGGTTTTAATTACTCGATATATATATATATATTCTCTCGCCAAGTATTTCAAGAAAGCGAAGGATTTGATCCTTCACGAGCAGTTGAATCTCATATATCATAAAATTTATTACCCATGGAATTATTTGCCTCAGTGATTCATATCGTCCAAGTGTGTTTCCTCGGGGTGCCACGTGGGCACATTCCGTTGGTTCATGGCGCTCAAGAGATCACTCATTCATGTGGGGTTTTTCATTGGGGTATTTTGTTAAAAAATGGTCATTTCTTTGGTGTTTTATGTAATTTTCCCTTCTTAAAAATGATAGACTTTATGGAGGGGAAAGGGGCTAAACTAATGGCCTTTCTTCCCGCATGACTGTGGAGAAGCCCAAACTCAGCTTGGACTCAAAGGAAGGCTAAAAAAATGATAATCTTATTAGAAAGAACTCTATTATGAAGCCTGGGTCAACCTCTCTCTCTCTCCCTCTCTCTCTCTCTCTCTCTCTCTCTCTCTCTAGATGCCCGACCAAACAAGGTACATTAAACCGAAAGAGAGATAATATTACAGGAGTTACTTAACATTGGGCTTCATATTTCCCGTCTCCTTATCATGCTGTTTATAGCACCAACCAACTAGGGAGTAGTGGGAACGCCACAGCGGCCGAGTTTTAGAGAGAGAGAGAGAGAGAGAGAGAGAGAGAGAGAGAGAGAGAGGATATGGGTGGATTTATCAATAATTTTCAGGAGGGCTTGCAAGACCTTGCATAGATTTAAGTCATCAAACTTTTCTAATAGGTGGGCTCGCCAGTAAGAGTTAAAAGTTACCAACAGAATAAAACAGATGAACAAAGATGGCAGCAGATCGCACTAATGAAACGAAATAAAAGGCGGAGCCATCGATTTTCGCAGGAATACTGCTGGCATGATCATCTCCCAGGGCTGATCCTGATTCAACGGCTCTGATTGGCCGACCAGTGTTTCATCCCCCATCCATCCCACCGCCCAATGAGCTCGACATCTCACATAAAGAGAGGTTGATCGGTCAACAATCGCCACTAAAATTATGATCCATCTCTCAAAACCAAGAGAGAGAGAGAGAGAGAGAGAGAGAGAGAGAGAGAGAGAGAGAGAGAGAAATAGAAAATAGAACAGGGAATCTAAAGAAGAAAGAAGCTTAAGAGAAACCGGAAATGAGAGTAAAAAATAAAAAAGAGACAGCAAAAACGGGAAATAAACCCTACAGGGAAGCTAAGGAGAAAATATACAATGAACATCGCCACTAAAATTATGATCCATCTCTCTAAACCTAGAGAGAGAAAGAGAGAGAGAGAGAGAGAGAGAGAGAGAGAGTCAAATAGAAAATAGAAAACAGAAAATCTAAAGAAGAAGGGAGCTTAAGGGGAACAAATAAAGAGACAGAAAAAACGGGAAATAAATCTCAACAGGGAAGCCAAGGAGAAATATAAAATGAAAGAAAAGACTCAAAAACCAAACGGTACAGCCAAAAAAAAAAAAAAAAAAAAACAGGAATGAAACATAAACAGGGAGGAAGGCATGACAGAAAACAGAAAAATAACAAAAAGTAATATATATATATATATATATATAAAGGAGAAGAGAAATAAAGGGGTGGACTGAGGGCAAATACCACTGATATGATCTGCAGCAGGAAATGGCTCAAGAACACCTCCCACAGGCATCACCAACCAGCCACACAACCTGGCGCTACACAGATGATCAGCAAACAAAGGACAAGGACGGCCACGCACACCCAGGAAGTTGAGCAAAAATGTTTTTCTATAGATCTCTAACAGTGTTCAGCTCCAGACAGCAGAAAATGTAGAGAAATTTCATATAAAGGAATTCAATTTCCCACGGATTCTAGAGAGAGGGAACAGAGGGCAGATCCACCTTCAAATGTGTTGACAATGGGGTCAACCCCCAACACCCCTCCTCTTTTTTTTTCCCCCCTAAAATTAAAAAAAAAAAGCAGTAAAGAAGAAAAAAAATTACTTATTCTACCACTTGTGGGGTATGTTACAGACGACTCTAAGATCCTCTAGGAAACCCTCAGGGCGGTGTAGAGCTCAGCTCAGATTTTATACCTCTCCCTCCCCCACCGGGAGGGGAAAAAAATAATCTATCTTGAGCCGCTCGATGTTATACCATTTGAGAAGAATCTGACCTGACTGCACTCTTTCAACTTGGCTATGGCATCTGGGATGATCCCCAGCCGAAGATCCACATAGGCGGCTGCCGCCAGTGCTTGGGGGTTGCCCGGGATTGCCAACAGGGCCTTTCTCAAGAACAGCCTAGCCTGCTCTAGATTTCCCTGAATGGCGTGTAAGGCACCGAGATTCACAAAAAGGGCACCGCAGGCCTCCTCGGGCCTGAGAAATAGGCTGAATTTTGGCTCTGGTGGGGCCATCTGCTGCTTGATGGCGGCGGGGCCATTGGATTCTTCACTGTATGCATCCTTCTCTGTGAGCCACTTCAGTCCGTCCTCTTCACTGTAGGGGAACTCAACATTATTACCTTCTGAAAGGTACACCGAGAGATGGTCGGCAGCTTCTTCAGGCCGGTTCAGGCGGCACAGAGCTTCAGCTGCATAGACCCGGCTGAAAAATGTATACATTCTGGAGCAACCTGGTAGCTGCTGAAGCTCCCAGGCAACAGATAGTGCTCCCAGAGGGTTGTTCAAGCTCAACTCCACATAAGCTAAGTCAGCAAGAGCAGCCTGTTTTACCATGTTATTCTCTCTTTTGCACAGTCCTTCATAAGCAGATACTGAACTGTCAACCGCAGCAGCATTTGAGCTCACATTGCCCCTGTTATCTCTGGAATCTGACTCTATGTCGCTCTGTGCGTTCTTGTAGTTGGAGCTTCTAAATCCGGCATTTCCTGCATGGTCAAGCTGGGCTTCTCCTTCGCGGGCCAAAGAGACCACCGAAGATCTTGGTCCAAGCTTATCTAGTAGGTGTAATGAGTTTAGCAAGCACTGCCGGGCAAAGGGAAGAGAGAGTGTGAAATGATGACTGCCAACTGAGGGGCCGCTCTCAGAAGGGGAGCCCAAGTGGCTATCTCTTGAGCTCGTGCTTACAGCCAGCTGCCGCCATTTGCCAGAACCAACAACATGCACCTTAACTTGGTCGGGCCAGGAGCAGAAGCTAGTCAGATTTGTTTTGAGAACTCCTTTTGATTGAGCCAGTAGGCAGCATTCCGCAAAGCGGAGCCACAGAAGAGGCTTGTTGTAGAGAGCTGGAGCAGCCAGACGAAAACACTTGGCTGCCATCAACGGTCTTCCACAAGACAAGTACTGCAGTCCACAGTTGTATGAAATCAGGAGGGATTTATCTTGGGAAAAATTCAAAAGCTTCAGAGGTTTCTCCTGTTTCAGTGAAGAACTGCTCCTCAGGGCCTTTGAGAAAAGGGCAATGGAAGTGTGGTGTTTCTGTAGGTGATGGTATATGCACCCAAGGTTATTGTTAAATATGCTGAAGTCCCCTGGCTCTGTCTTGTTGCTGGATGTCATCAAAAGCTTAATAGCCTTCCGATGGTTACCTCGGGCATATTCTAGCTGCGATTTCAAAAGCAGAGCAATCGATGAATCCCTACCACGCGCCACATTCATTCCCAGCTTGACCTCACGCTTGGCTGCCTTGAGGTTCCTTGTCAGAAGCAGAAGTCGGACCTTGTACAGATGCATCTTCAACTTCAGATCAGTAGTAGGAGCAGGCCTATCGATTGGCATACTAGAGAGGTTATTAGCATTTGGCCTTGTCATACTCTGGCCACTGTTATCCAATGTAGATAACAAAGTTTCATATTCGATTGCATCTTCTGATAGGATTCGATCCAAAGGGTTTTCAGAAACTCTTGAATCTGAACTAACATTATCAGGTACAGCTAAAGCACTTGATGTAGAGGTAATTTTTAATGCTGCCTGGCTTGAAGCCTGCTGTTGAACAATGTTTCCATTGTCGCCTTGATTTACCACATACCCATCACCAAATGATTTCTCCATATACTGAATTACGTCCTGGCATGGGGAAAAGAGTAGAGGCAAAATACTAATGAGTCAGAGAGTTGAAAACATTCTGATTTCGGAGCAAATGTTTTTAAAAATACAAAACGACATCACAAAATTTCCAACTTGCACAATGATAATGGGTATTGTGTGTGGTAATATGAATCTCACTACGGACGGAAAAACAGTTGCTTCCTCAGAAACGGAAAATTCAAGGAAAAAAAATAAAATAAATCCTTCACTCTTTCAGGTTTTCAAAAAATAAAAGCAAAAACCAAAATACTTAGGCAGTACAGTCAATTTCCAGACCTACAAGACTTGTATACAGGTCAACAATACATTGCTTAAACGCTAGCATTTTCATGAGCCTTTCTTTCTCGATCATCAAGCGAGATCACAGACCAGTTGTCACAGGATAACAGCGTTCTTGTTCTTTGTAAAGTAGAGTACAACATTTACAATCTTCATCAGGGCAGTGTGGAGCATGCACTTGTTACAAAAACATTACCTAGCCTCTCGCTCTAGATAACAGAAATGACTACCATCCGTCTCGCGCTAAAAAAAATCACCTATTCCTTTTGTTCCAAATGACGAGCGAGTGAGGTAAGCCACTAAACTTATTGAACCGCTTTAAGTATCTGTCATCAATGCCAACAGCCCAGAAGCTTCTCTACTATTGTGCTTTATTAACGCAGATTCATACATCAAATCTTTAAAGAAGAATGGACATCCAAGAAATGCATGATCTAACAAATATTCCCTATAAAAGTTATAAGAGGTTCTCACATCATGCAAACAGAGAGCGAACTGGACATGTGGGTCATCTCCTGTGTGAATTAATTCACATCAAAATCTTCAAAAGAGTCAGGTCCACATATAATCACCAACATGATAGCTTGTCCCTCTACCCGAAATGAAACGGTAGGCGGATCAAACTTTAACTTTTCGCCACTAACTCATTGTCATCTGCATCCATCAATCTCTTACATGTAACTAAGCCAAGTAGAGTACCATCTGGCAAAATTCTGAAAGTTAAATTATTTCTTAATCATAGGAGCTGCCTTTCTTTCAATATATTTACTGTTAATATCTCTCACTGGCTCGTGAGTATCCTATGATGTCCTACAAAGTAAAGAAGATTAGTGTTCTGTCTGAAAAACACCATATCTACACCAAACTTCGAATCCTTTGTCCATTTCGTAGACATGGATCAATCAGCCATCACCAAAATGAAAAGGTCTACTAAATACCCCGACATTGCTTTGGATAAAAAATCGGAAATCAGAAGTAGACCAGCCATTTATACTAACGAGACAAGAACAAAGCTTTGCTTATAACTTCCCTCTATTGTTTCTCTCCTACCCCTCCCCAAGCCATAATACAATTACTCACAGCCTATTCTTCTCTTTCCATTACAGATGCAGCGGTAGATCAAACTTCGGTGGTAACTGATGCTGATCATGGTCATGCTCAAGATCAGGAGAAGCTTACTGGAAGGCATTTCTTAAATTCGGAATTTCTCCACAGCTTGCCATGCGTTGCATAATGCATAGGACAGCTTGAGATAAAAGTTGAAACTTTATAGACAGCTGTGGAGATTCTGTGAATAGCCAAGTCCAAACCTTACACTAATACTAGGTCCCTTTTTCATTGAAACTCCCTGACGAGCATAGAAGAGCGGTTTCATAAATTCATAATAATTCATCACCTATTGGCAATCATCTTAAAATCATTAGAAAACTGGGGTTGAACTCTGAATTAAATCAACTCTCAATGGACCGGAACTCCTGGTATCATTCTACAGGCCATCTCGTAAGCAATTTTGGAATTAATAGAAGCAAAAGAAAATTCTAGCACTAAGTCCAACAGAAGATCAGTCAACTGCAGCAAAGATGGGCAATTTTATCAAGACTCGTGCTACCCAAAACTCACCTAAGTCGGTACAATATATCACAGTTATTTTACAATTTCTAGGTTCTCGGGCAAACAAGACATCAGCCAATCTTGAAGCCAGTCATAAGAGTTCAACGAAAAAGAATCACAACGTAATAATTTCATAGCAAAATGATTGAGCATGCAGCCAGTAGAGGAAGCAGTTGATATTCATCTCGGAACCGAAAGGAGAAGACATGAAAAGAAAAGGGCAGAGGTGATTGAGGAACCCAAGGCATGCTCTATTTCAGAAAACAGGTATCCAGGAAGAGCTTAATCATTTCAGAGAACAGGGGACGAAAACAACTGAGCTCTCCGGACCTAATCGATGATAATATATTAAACAGTACAAGCATTCAACTAAGTTTCATTTATCATTTTCTACTAATCTATGAAACATTATAGAACCATAGTTCTAGTTTAATTTTTCATGTACTAAAAGTATTGATGTATTTATTTACTTTGTCACTTCTATGTTTTTTTTCCAAGAAACATTTTGTACTTCCACTTCCTCTACTTTAGATTTTTCTCATTTTCGTGGATGTATTGATATCAAATAATTTGCCTGTCTCGGCTTCTCTTTCTGAAGGAAAAAGGAAAAGAAGGCCTGACACCAGCGATGGTCAGAAAGGTGAAAAATGGCTACCTTCGTGATGGTTTTAAAACAATCTTGATGTTGAGCAATGAGAAGATGTAAACGGATGATTAGTAGAGTCAACCAATAGATAGTCGTTCCAAGGAAAGAACAAGCATAGTGCAAGGAGTTGATAGGTGTGGATGACACCAAGCGGAATGGGAGAAAGGATAAATTGATATTTTTCGGTTTTATGATTTACATAAACTGAACTTCCACCAGCACCCGGAAGAGACAATAAAATCAGCAGGCACAATGGAGTGGACCAAGTCATGATTTACATTAACCGTCTAGACCACGTCTCAAAAGGTGGGCAAGTAAATATCTGGCATGCAAATGGAACTAAACCACCTATGCCTAAGCACTGGCACGTGAGTGCCTTGGAAACTATAGTATAGAACTAAATCTCAGATCACCGTACTTAAAGTTATCCCCACGCTGACGGGCACTTTTTTCCACTCATCAAGAAGCCAATATCAAGTTTGATAGGTGGAAAGTTCCAGTTCACACAGAAACCAAATGCTCAACTTTATATGGCTTACACAGGGCATATGTATTCAACTGTTTCACAAAAGGGCACTCTTATTGTTGAAAACCTAGTAATGTATACACAGACAAACCATATTTTGTTTTCTATGCATGCCCTACCCGATAAGACTTTGCATTTTGAGTCCAACGAAAAAGCAAAACAAACAATGGAATTTAGTTCAAAAACAGTACAGGTCAAATTAAAAGCGAGAATCCCAAGAATATATATGTCAACTTACTCCAGCTCCAGAAGCATTATTGGAAGCTAATGCAGCATCTATTAGTAGAAGGCAAACATGTAGTGCTGTTGTCTGAAAATGAATAAATAGAATTCCAATCAGGCTGTCGACCAAAGAGAAACAAATGTTTTCATATAGTTTAGATAGTAAGTACCTCATCTAAAGGATGTAATTTTTGATAGAGTGGCTCCAACAATGATAAGGCACGTGGATACTCATGAAGATGGAAAAGGATAATGGCCTGAATAAAATATAGTCTACGTAAATTTGACAACAGAAAAATTTTAAAATAGAATCACAGCAGTGGAACTTAATAAAGATTGGTGACCTACAGTGTTAAGTGTCACTATCGAAGTGTCTATTTCATCTGCATATGAAACAGTAGCACTATTTGAAGGCATCTGATTTAGTGCGTCAATATTCCCTTTAGGTGGTGAAGTTACAATGCCAGAAACTTCCAATTCCTCCATGGATGCACGTGCAAGCTCTTCACTTTTCGTCTGTAATATTTATATGATAAGAATCAAAAAAGAAAATTGAAGATATCAAAAACAATCTTATTGATACAAAACTTGCATGAAAGAAAGAACTGAATGCACAACAGAAAACAGTAACATCAGACACATGAAATGCTGAATAGATTCACAAATAAAAATAAAATGCCACCAATAAAATACGCATAACATGAAGGTTTATAAGATGACCAACTGATATCCCACAGCCTACCACCTAGGCAACAGGATTTAAGTTCCTTAGGCAATACCTTTCTAAAATAATATCTATAATAATTCACAGTTAAATTAATACATATGAGTCAATAATAGCAACACACAAGCATAATACTTCTCATAAATATTTTTTCTCTCACGTGATATATTCCTTATGTAAATTAAAAATATTTTAACTTTAATATCGGTTATAATTCTCTAGATGAAAGTAGTACGTGTCTACACGCCCTGGGTGACCAGGATACCTAAACATGAAGGCGTTGCTTTACGATTTGCGGAGCACTGAAGAAACTAACAACAACACATGACTTTGACAATTGTCCATTTATATGGAAGCCTATTTCTTAAATGGAATAAAAACATGGTATCACTGCATTTCTTGATGGGGTAACTGGATCTTATCCTACAAGATCTTAATGCTTACTGCTCAAAAAAGGACACTAGAGCTTATTCGTGTAATGTCAATTATGCCCGACATACTTGTGGTTCTTTTATGATTGACATTAACTCATGAACTTCTTTTTGTTTCTGACGTCATATGTGAATAGAATCTCCTGATGAACAGAGAAATGACCCCACAGTTCCTTCATTTTTCTCATCTATGGTTTAATCATATGATATATTACTTTTTGGCAACAGAAGATGAGAAGTAATCTGTGATCATGTTGATACCGGAACTCTTCAAAGAAGTAGCAAGTTGAAGGTTTGACTATTAAAATGGTGTTTAGTCAAATGTACACATGTAATCTTCTCTCAGATGATACGTCATGTCATCATATGGTCTCTTCTTTTTAGGAATAAACTTCTCCTTTCAAAGTGAAGATCTAAACATGCATGGTTTCACATTGGAGCTTACACACTTTATATGGATAATGTTGGAGTTTACTGCAGCCGGTATGGGAAAAAGGATCGTTTGATCACCAAGTTCTTGGATGCTACTCCTTTGAGAAGTTGCTCATGTTTCTACAAGCTGGGCACTGGATTACACATCCTAGAACTACGAGGAGCTGTGAAGTGGCTGGCTTTTAAAACGAATACTGAAAGAAGAGTCAAAGAGTCTGTCTGGTAATCTTGCATACTAAACTTTGGGCCCTTTGTACTGAAGGATCAAATGGACTTTGGGCCTTTGTACTGTCAGCTAATTAATTTCAGCGCTTCCATATTCATCTTTTCATTTTTTTTATATTTAATGCGTGTGGCACTACCCAAATTCAAAAAAAAGGGGCCCAAGGCACTACCCTTTAAAAATTTTAAAGAGTTCAAAATGGTAGAAGGGAAAATCCGGTCTTTGGTACAAACTATCTCCCTTATGTAAAAGAAAAAGAAGATTTTCATGCCTAATCACAAATAGTGAGATCATTATCCAGAGAAACTGTAAACTTGCTGCTTTGACGAATCATGTCCAGAGAGGAGATCTACAATAGCACCGACTAAACAAACACTCGAGCATGAATTTGTTGAATCAGAGCTTCCAGAAGGAAATCAAGATAAAATAAGTTTCAACAAAATAAGGACATTGCTAAGCATAATTTCAAGGCTGATTAAACTAGGAAAAGCATAAAATAAATCAGTCCAGTAAAGTTATTTACCTTGACTCTTCTAAGCACATCAAGCAGAGCTCTAGGGTCAGGACACCCATCACGGAAGTACTCCGCAATTGCAGTATTATGGAGAACCTGAAATAGTAGCATCCACGGTTAAGCACAGAGAAAGGCAGAAAGGATACAAGGAACAAGCATAAGAAATTATTCACTGAAAGTGAGCAAAATAAGGCCAAAAAAAGTTTATTTTCTAGCCCCAATAAGATTGTCTCACGAGAAAAAAAACTCAAGGTAAATTGGTCACTTGAAACACCAACGTCAGGATTTCTTACCTTTCCATTCCATTGTTTATTTTTTAGTCAAAAGCACACTTAAAAGAGGCCAAAAACCGACGAACGCCGAAAGACAACAACTAAAATAAGTTCAATTAAAATCAGACAATAAGATAGAACACAAGTCAACAACACAGCTTAGTCCTTAAAGCTGTCAGCTGGACGGGCAAACTCGATGTCGGGAAACAGAAATTTCGAGAGAAGGGAGGACTAGTATCTGCACCTTAGGATCGTCCTCTTTCTTCTGCAGTATCTGGTTCAGTACCTCGACGCACTCCGCATAGTGTCCACTCTGAAACAGCGACGCAGCATCCTTTGCAAGCCCACAAGTCACAGTCAGTGCCGCCCCATCGTCATCCATCTGCCCATGCCTTGGCGAGGCTACCGCCACAGATGCCGCCGCAGCCGAGGACGAATCCCGCGCGTCCATTATTAGATCCAAAATCCACCGCCCGACCAAGAAAACCCCGCCAGCGCCGCGTCCACAGACACCCTCCCTCACTTCCTCGACTCGTATGCCCTAACCCTCCCCTAGCCGAGCTATAATGGTCAAGTACGAAGCCGCCCTACAGACCTTCACCGCGACTTCTTCCGAGACGAGGCGGCCCCGAGACCTGCTCCTCCATGGATTCCGCTTCCCAAATACCGAAGTGTTGCACAGCGTCTGCTACGGTAATGAACGGCCGGAGCTCCAGTTGTCAGGGGAGGAGCTAGGGTTTCCGAATGGGACTGGCGGCGCTCTCTCCTGCTGCCAGATGCGGCGGGCGGCGTCGCCAGCGAGGTCGATAGTCTTCTTCCAGCAAGGTCGGAGGCGGAGAGGAGGCCAGAGATAGAGAGAGAAAGCGGCCGGCGCCGGAGTGATGTCACCGGCAGGGAGAGACTTTTTAAAGGTGGCGATGAGGGAGGGACCGCGTGCGTAATGGCGTGTGGGCGGTTGGGGGAGGATATAATTATAATTAGAATTAGAATTATAATAATGGGGAAGTGAGATCAGATAGGGAAGGTGTAAAGCGGTGACCCAATCTCGAAGTTAAGATCCTGGGAGGACCACTCCGGCTGCCTGAGCCTCAGCGGCGATTGTGTTACCGACTCCGTATCTTACTATGGGCTACTCTCTCTCACTCTCTCATGGAGGGTTAATATTTTATACGGAAAAGAAAAACTTTAGCTGCAGGAATAATTTGAGTTACATAGACGCCAATTAGTGAATGCTCATCTCTCTCTCTCTCTCTCTCTCTCTCTCTCTACCCAATGGCGTGTTCATTATTAGAGATTTAATTCATCACAAAAAAGAGAAAAACTTTCGTTGTATAAATAATTTCACCAGTCATTTGGAAAATTCTCATCCCGTAACTTTTTCTACATAAATTAAAATCATAAATATTTCAATACTCTATGGCATTCCTCTCACTCTCTCTCCCCATGGAGGGTAGGCTTTATATGAAAACTAATACTTATGTTATTATCAAAAATCAAATTCATCACAAAAATGAGGAAAACTTTGGTCAAAAACTTTTATTTATATACATATTTATGTAATAATATTTTGTATTATTAAAAGGCTCATAGGATCAAGCCTTGATGTGAGAAATAGGCCTGGCCCTTTTACCTTTCAAGCACAATTGGCCCAAAGGGTTTTAAGTGGTGATGTCATCAAAGCTCCACTAGCATTGTGGGAACCTCCCAAGGGTGGGCATAACCATGAGTACACATGAGATGGCTCACATTTTCATTTGGGGAGCAACTACAAATACAAAGTGAGTGTAAGTGACTTCTCACTGTCCTAAGTCTACAATGGATTTGATGACAAGATGGGGTTGGGAGCTTTTTGACTTAAAGTCAATGGGGTTGAAAGTTTGAATCTTTTTAGTAAATAAAGACAATATAATAGCCCCATAGTACTTGATTAGGCTATTTCCAACCTTTGTAAATGATTGCTCTTTTAGGCCCCTATGTATCTCTACATGACTTGTAGGCCCAACTCTCTCTTGAGAACTAACTTTTAGCATATTTCTCGATACAGTTTCATAGTTTTCTTAATAGTTCCCATGAAAAACTCAATTGAGATCGAATAGAAAATGCAGAAATCATGAAAAAAAAATATGATAGCTTGGTAAATTCATCAAAATAGTGACTTAATTTCAAATTGATGTATGATTATTTTAATGTTATTTTAAATAATATATAATGTATTTAAATGTGATTTCAGTCTTAAATCCAACAAAGAAAATATGTTATTCATTAAGGTTTTATAAAAGGCTAATGAATATTTCATAAAATGTGATGTGGGCAAGTCAACTTGCACACTGACAATGCCTCATATTGTTGGAGTGTGGAGGAAGATCTATTGACCTATCAACATCTACCATCGAAGTTCCAACAATCAAATACCTTCTACATTGTGGATACACTTGACATTTATTGCACCTTACCAATACAAATGTCACTCCCCATATCACATTAAGTGAGCACAAAAAAATAGTTACCATTATAATCTAAGATTCATGTGATTAAAAACATATCTTTCAAGTCAAATCTTTTGAAACCATATTCTAAGAAATTATTTCTAGGAAAGATACATGTGAAAGATTAAAAATTAGATCATATAGTTTAAATAGTCAACATTATTGGAATCTCATATCTACATATATATCCTCTCTGCAACTACTTGAAAGTAAAACCCATTAAGATTAACTCTAAGAAAATATCATCCATTACCTTGTTTATTTGGACATATATAAATGCATTCGAATTAGTTTAATGTCTCGTCTAAATATATCCAACTTATTTGAAAATCATTCAAAAGTGTACCCACATTGTATATTTTTATTACTTATCTCTTCTACAATAAATAATACACTCAATTTTTCTTATAAATATTACTATTACACAATTTCAAAGAAGAACAAAAGATGACTGAATCCTTGGCTAACTAAAGATTGGTAGGTTGGACCTTTATGCCACACTTGATAGTGGTTAAGGCATGTTTTTCATAAGAAGGACCTTTATGCCACATTTGAAAATCAATGCATTAAGGTTAAAAATCACATTTTTATTGATGACTACATAGAAGCAAATCTAGCTAGTTTAAAATTTATTTCTTCTTTTGATTTTGTGTGATCATCTTAGTTTTTTTGAACTAGTCAATAGTAAAACTCTAATACATATATCATTCATTACAAGTTGCTGCCACCCCACTCCATTCCCCTCAACAAATTTTCATAGAGCTCAATTATAATTGGGCAAGATTTCAGCCATCCTACTCATTCCTAGTACTAACTATACACATATACTCAACTAGAGTTTATCTACTCTGTCTCATTGCGATAAATTGTACAACTATAAAAGGAACTTTACTAGTTTCATCAACTTTTGTCTTTCTCCAGATCTGAACTAGAGAGTTGGAGGGATGCATACAAAGATGAGATGGAGGTAGAGAGAGAGAGATATGTGTGCTTATGTATCTATCCATTTCTACATGAATATTATGTGAACATATTTATATTTTATATCTAATGAGTGAGAGAGATCACTGGTAACCCTAATCATTTTTATACTAATTTTTAACCAATGAAGAAGAATTGTCTTTTTCTGGTATTTTGATTAAACTTTTTAGCATTTCAGTTTTGTAATTTCAACTTTTTTGGATTTAAATTTTCTTAAGTGTTATCTAAAAATATCATAATAATGTCACAATTGTGAGGTTACAATATTAAATTCAGCTTAGAACTATAGTTTCAAAGGAGGATGGACGTGTTCATTGGGTATCCATGTAGAGCTCAATAGAGCTTCAAGACTACTAAACAACATGGTGAAAACTGAGGTATTTAAACAAAGCTTGTTCATAGAGGGTCCCATCATTCATAGAAATATTCATCAATGGGATTATTATAATATTACATTATCAATGATGTGAAATAACGAGATCTATGAGGGTAATACCTATAAAAAAATTAAAAAATCTATAGCCTTCACACTCACAAAACGTTCCACTTAAATTACTATTTTTTTGAAATTTAATTTGAAGCTATGGAAGTGGACAGCAAGTAGAGAACTGCTCCAATGCATAAAAAGTAATTGTTTCAAGTCGTCTTAATCATGATCTTATTGCAAAATGTGCAAGCTTATCAATGACTAGTTCAATGATAGGATTTTAGAGGGTAAACACTACATACCAAATATAGGTACGATGCTTTGATAACATTATAAGCACAGATAAATAGTGTTGTTTGCTAGTATTAGGTGAGCTCACTTAAATCTAATTCGTTTTAGTTAAAGTGTTGCAAAACAGAACCTGCAAAGTATTTATTGAAAAATAAATGAATTCAAATCAATAAGTGGCTTTATGTATCCTCAACCATTAACTTCGATTTTTCTCCTCTACCACCTTCTAATTATGTATAAACTTATAAAAGGAAGGTTATATAACAAGTTTTTTGCGTCAAAACCGCATCAGAGATGAGATTAAACAAGTTAACATCTTTGGAGATATTAACAACCATGAAAAAGTGTTAAGCCATGAATTAATTACCCAATGTAAGTGTCAATCTCTCTCCTTTAGAGCATATATCCTTGCCTAACCTCACAAGGATGCCCTCTTTTTTTTCCTGATTTATATATATACATAGTCACGGATCATTTAAACAGCTACGCCCTTGTGCTTCAAAAGACTTATTGGGCTCTTTTCGCTCCTATACGTCGCACGCATACTACGCGTGTAATATTTTCTCCTCATGTTTCCCTCCATGCTTTGCCATCCTTCACATTGATTAGATTTAGTCGCAGTCACCTCATACATGTATCATGTCAGGATTCTTTTCTATGGCCTTGTCACCTTCTCTTTGGACTTGAGAATTGACAGATGACCGCTTAGTCTAATCCCTAAGCAAGAAAGGAGCTCACATATTCATTGTTTTTCCAAAATGGACCCCACATTTTATTCTCTATGAAGAACCTTCAGTTACTTCAATCGGACTGATTGCTTTGAAAGTTTTTCTTTTCTGAGTTCTAATATCAATCACTCTGATTAAAAGCACCTTCCTTCCATCGCTATTACTAATAGTTTTCACGCATCTCACGCACTCTGAAAGGCATCATAAAAAGATGAAGAGACCCTGTTGAAGAACTGATGAATATTCCCTAGTTTTTCATGAAGAACTGATGAATATTCATGGAGAGCGTAGTCTACTTTAACTATTTTCTCCACTCATTTGTCTCTACGGTGGAGAAACTGTCATTTTCCTACCTGAATCTCCCAATTTGAGGATAAAAGCGAAGAGTAGAGCATCTTTCCGGAAGAACTTTCGGAATGTTTCATGATATGTGTGATAGTAGCGACTGCACAGGAGGAACAACAGCTTCTTACCGTGGATAGATAGACAGATCGACGAGCGTGGCTTCTTCTTGAGCGAGTCCTCTTTGGACATTCTTGCCTGCAACTTGCCTTGTCGTTAGTTCAGATTCCCTGTTGTCTGTTTAAGGCGAAAGAAGCCCCTCCTGCATGGCCTGTTTAGGGTCCTCCGAAAGGAGCAGAAACGCCAAGGAGGAAACTGTTTGAAAAGA